TAAACTACGGTGGTCAGTCGTCATATTAAAAACAAGTATACCTCATCTTCCATCCACAATCCTAGGGTGCTGTCTCATTCATCGAAAGCCTGTCTCCACAACCACGTCTTCACCCATTTCCTGAATGTCAGGATAGACGAGGCGGTTCTGACCTCCGGTGGGAGAGAGTTCCAGAGTCGCGGGGCCATCACCGAGAAGGCCCTGTCCCTCGTCCCCACCAGGCGCGCTTGTGAGGCCAGTGGGACCGAGAGCAGGGCCTCTCCAGACGATCTTAGTAATCTTGATGGTACGTAGGGGAGAATACGTTCGGAGAGGTAAACAGGGCTGGAGTCGTTTAGGGCTTTATAGGTTAACACCAGCACTTTGAATTGTGCTCTGATTATCTGCTTTGAACTGGATTATATGGCAGTGTAGATAATCCAGTTCAAAGCAGGTAATCTGAATTATTTGATTGGATAATCTGGATTATATGGCAATGTAGATCTAACCTGATATATGTCTTCCTGGTTTTAGTGGGTCCAAAACCAAACCTACCCAAGGTCACTAAATAAGTCCATGGATATTTTAAACAGCACCCTTTGACAGAGAAGGCTAAAGGCCTTTTAAAACAACAATTCTTGTGACTCCATAATATTGAACCATGGTAGTTAAAATTGTGTCAAATTACATTAATTCTACAGTGTAGATGTATCCTTAGGTCCATGCAAGATTTTCCCATACCAATTTCTCATGGAAGCCCTTTTAAATACAGTATGCACTGCAAAATTTAAAAGCTTATTCCAATGTTCCAACCATTAATTGGAACACTGACATTCTAAACAATATACATATTTATTGTCGAAGACTTTCATGGTCAGAATCACTGGGTTTTGCAAGTTTTCCGGGCTGTATGGCCATGTTCCAGAAGCATTCTCTCCTGACGTTTCACCTGAATCTATGGCAGGCATCCTCAGAGATTGTGAGGTCTGTTGGAAACTAGGAAAATGAGGTTTATACGTGTATATATAAAGAGTTCTTTCTCCCACCCTGGACATTCCACAGATATAGATGCAGACAAAATGTCAGGAGATAATGCTTTTGGAACATGGCCGTACAGCCCGGAAAACTCACAACAACCCAATACACATATTTGATACTTAATCTTGAAAAACTATAAATGAGAAACATACTCATGCCCTACTTAAGGCCTCATCACACTTGAGCATTTTCCCACTTTAATCCCCTTCAAATGCTGTGACTGCCTCCTGCAGAGTTCTAGAGCTTGCAGTTTAGGGAGTCCCAGGGCTTCTTTAGATGAGCGGTTTAAGGGCTCCTCCCTAACCTTCAAATTCCAGAATTCTGCAGGAAGCAGTCACAGCAGTTAAAGTGGATTAAAGTGGGAAAATGCTCAAGTGTGATGAGGCCCGGACATAGCGTTTTCTTGGAAAGAAGTTGATTTGCCAAAGTTTACTACACTTTCTTCCTATCTGTCCTAAATATCCTTGATCACATAACAGACTGTAAGTCAATCTTCAAGCTCGGTGCAAATGAATACCAAGAAAGAAAAATGGCTTAGACAGTTTATGATCAGCAACTCAAATTACAGCCTTGGGAGTCCATGTCAACACCACACCATTTCATATAAACAGTGTGATAGCATATTTACAAAGTGAAGATTGGTTTTTTGTTTCATCAGAGAAGCCAAGTTTGCAATTGCCAAGATAACTTGGTGGCATCAAATAGAAAAAAGTACACTGAGGTCTGACTTAGTAAGGTGAATATCTTCTTCATTCTCTTCTCAAATGGAAAATAATTATTTAATCTATTTTTAATTCTCCATTTTGGGACAGTTTTAAAAGAATTCTTCCAGTGAATGTCAAAATTGCTATAGCCAAGGCCTGCTCAAGACAATTGAGGAGCAGAAGCAAAAGGCAAAGATGGCAGCCCTACATCCCACATGCAGAAGAGAACCAGTCTGGCAATGAATTTTATTTTGACAGTGGTGACAGGGCATTATCCTCTACTAATTCCAAGCAGCAGGCCATTTTGGAAGTGCAGAACACAGCTGAGTCTTCCAATGGAGGGGTGGATTGACAAGAAAGAGTTGGTAGACCAGGGCTATTGCTCTCAGTCTGCCATCCGAGGCACTTGCTTCACATTGTCTAATAGCAGAGTTGGCTGTAGTTGCCAACGTATGCCATATCAGAAACATTTTACCGATCTTTTTATTTTCATGCCTAGAATTTGGTGCAAGCTCAGGGCAATGGATGAAGGTTTACATAGTGCCCATATACTATCTTTTCTAGAAGAGTTAGTTGATTAATCTAGATCAGTGGTTCCCAACCCTTTTTTTGACCAGGGACCCCTTTGACCAGGAACCACTTTGACAAGGGGCCACTTTGACCAGGGTCCACTCCCCAACATTAGTACCAAAAGGGTTACAAATCAGTTTTTGACCAACTTTAGATTTGTTTTGGTTATTTGGGGTGTTGATTCAGAAAACTGCATTGGACAGACCACATCAGCTCTAGTTTCTGATACGGAACATATGCCATCCAGTAGTCACCATCTGTTCGCTCTCAGAAAATCATATTTAATAATCTAGAACGGATGTGGTTTATCCAATACAATTTTCTGAATAAGCACCCCAATTAACCCCAGGACCAGGCCTAAAAACTATGGAATCAAGGTGCCCCTGCTTCCAGATGCCACATGGAATGGCTCCACTCAGGGAGAGGGAGGATGAGGAGAAGCAGCAGTAAGGAGACTTGTTGTCCTGCCTTTCATGGGTAGTCAGCCTTTCCCCTTCCGACATCCCCATTGCCTCGGCACTATAACAGGGTTTTGCAAGACTAATCGCTCTTGTTGCAATGGTGTAGTAACGGTGAAGCCGCAAACCATATTTTAGTTTTTGCAGACCACTGGTGGTCCATGGACTACAGGTTGGAAAACAATAAGCTAGATACTTTGAACTTTCAGCCCTACAACTTGATGATTTTATTGGTTTTCTTTTATCTCTGACTCTATCTACCTATCCTATTTATTTGTTGCATTTGTATGACACCTTTCTCCCAACAGCTTTGTTTACCACTTTGCATCTTTCATTTCAACTGTTTATGGTGCTACTCATATGGATCCCAATATTTGTTCCATCTTGCAGATAAGTTGTTTGGGGGCTTTTTGAAACTAACCTCCTTTATTGTGTTGTATTTTCCTTAAAAATACAAAATTCTCCTTCACATTTCAAATGTAATAGTTTGGGAACGAAGCAGGGAGCAAAACAAGATTCATTTGCTGTGGAAGGGGAATGTGTACAAAGTATTAACCCAGATTTATGGGATGGGGAGAAAGTAGAGGTTATTAACTTCTGAAAACCCCAAATATTCTCATATTTTCAAATTCACTTAGTCTGAAAATTCTGTGTGTGATAATATGATTCAGAAACGACTGAAACTTGAATGCCTGTTCACTTAGAAAATCTTATACAGTATTTTCTAAAATTTGTTTTAAATAGGGTGTGGGGTAGAGAGATTTCTTATTTGAGGTTGAAATGGGTTAAATATTCTAAATCACCTTAAAGCTAAAAATGGTAAAATCATCCATAACTGTACTATGATGCACCTTCTTATCTTCTCTAGATGAAAGGTAGAATTTAAACATATCAGTATCATTACCCCTCCTCAGATTCTAGTATGAAACAGCTGCCTGTGGGCATTTCCCTGTTGGTGAGAGGGAGCTGTCAACAATGAATGTGAGTATATGTCTAGGCTAGTAGCATGGAAAGAAAGATTCATGAGTGGACTAGATTGGTTCAGTGTTTACATTGTTGTTGATGTGTGCCTTCTGACTTGTGGTGACACTAAGATGATCTTATCATGGGGTTTTCCTGGCAAGATTTGTTCAGAACTGATTTGGTTTTTCCTTTTTCCAAGGCCTAGAGAATATGATTTGCCCAAAGTAACCTGGTGAGTTTTTCATGGCTGAGTGATGATTCAAACCCTAGTCTCCGGAGTTATAGTCCAACACTCAAACCATTACACTGTGTAGCACTGAAGCCTCATCATATGGACTAATTTGCCTGTTGTATGCCGGTTCCTCTCCCCTTTTGCCATGGAGCTCATTACACGACATACATCTACTTCTGGTGGAGCTCAGTGGCAGAAGAGGAGAGGAAACAGCGTGCAGTGCTGCCATAATAATATGAGAGCCTTCCCGTGTTGCACTTGCAACAATAGGGGAAAGCCGGGAAGGGGTTCCGGGTAAGTCAGAAAAGTCATTGTCATAAAAAAAATTGGGAAGGAAAAGCTTTTACCCAGATAGTAATTGGGAGCCATTTTATTGCACCAAAATTGAGCTGCACCAGTACAACTATGGTAGCTTCCCAGATGGGTATATTGACTACTAGCACTGCACTTTACTATTAGCACTGCACCATTAGTTGACACAACGTACACTTTCTCAGCTAACAGATGTGATTTTTGAGCTCAACACGGGGCCAAGAATTCCCAAAGAATTATGAGACAACTTTTCAATGTTAAAAAGAATGACAATTGGAAAAAAAATCCAGCCTACATTGTTCTACAAAGAACTGTTATAAATCTACTGCACATAAATGTGATATGAACTAATCTCCGCAGAAGTTATTTAGATTTAATAATAATAATAATAATAATAATAATAATAATAATAATAACTGCTAATCAATTGTTCCATATTAAAACGTGTGTGGGATACTTTCTTCATTTTTAAAACTTCTTTTAAACCTGAAAAACACCTCTTATTGTTACAGGATAATATAATGAATAGTTCATTCACTTACTGCTACAGAGTTCTATGATCTCATTGTTAACAAGCCATGAATGGTTTGGTCTTAATGAAGAAATTAATTAAGAATTCATTAATACATTAAGTACTAATGTACTTCTGTGCTAAGCCTTTAAAGGCATGTGATTGAAATGCAGCAGATCTGACACACAACATGTCTGAGAAATGTCCCCACAAAGAGGAGAAGGCAGGCCTACCTGTCAGTATCTCCCCTCCTTTTCTCTGGCAAGGCTTTCATGTGTTTCTCAGAATAGCAGGAAAGCCTGCAGCTGTGTTTTCAATCAGAAAAACGAAACACCCTTCTCTGTAGATTAAGCGGCTTCTGCAAAGGAACCTGGCCACACAGGAACATTTTTATTGCAGCAGCCACAGCAAGATCAGGAGGGTCATCATCCTAGCCTACACACTGCAACATCATCAGGACAACTTCACCACCTCCTGCTTCTCTCCTCCATCAATCACCGCATGGGGCATCTATTTAAATCCAGGGGGGATTAGCATAGTGGATCCCATTTACACTGGAATATGTAAAATTTGACACGATTGTAACTACATCTTACTCTAACAAATCCAGTGAAAGTGCACAGCATCAAAAATGAATCAAATAATGCCTTTTCCTGGCTCATGTCAGTTCACAGGCTGACAAACATATGCCTCACAGATGGGATTGTTGAATTTAAACCCAGAAAAGGCTATCCCACACAGAAACACTGGCAAAAGTGTGCTGTAGATGGGGAGCCACGCAGGTTGATGGCAAGCATTTATCAGATGGCAAGAAACCATAAAAAAGAAAAATAGTGCATGGTTGTTTGACTTTGTATGATTTACTTCTAGTAAATCCTACTGTAGTGTAAGCCCCATTGGGTTTAGTAAGTTTTATTCCCTGCTAGATAAGTGTATATACCAGGCATGAGCAAACTTCAACCCTCCACTTGTTTTGGACTTCAACGCTAAAACACCTGGAGGGCCAAAGTTTGCCTATGCCTGGCATATACTCTATAAGATGACAGTCTTGGTTTGTCTATTATTCAAATAAAACATTAGCTGATTAGTTGGTGAGTGACCAGTTTTCATGGTTTAGCTCTCAATTAAGCTGGCACATGTTATAACATTCTTTTGGTTCCCATATGTCAATACCATAAAGAATTTTAAATGGACATTTCTTCTAACATTTGGCAGTTTGTAGCCTTTATTAAATGGCAAGTAACTTCAATATTTCAAAATGGTTGCGGCTTTATTAATCTATAATAATTAATAATATGATATATACTCAATCTAGTATAACATGCACATAACTTAATGAACTAAAATGTCTTTATTCAGTCAGCAGCACCAGTGCCAATTCTTTCTAATTACTCACATCTGCTATGTGCACATTCTTTTTATTGTGTGGGGAAAAGTCCTATTTGCCCAATATTCTGATTTTTTGCATGTCTCTCAGGCAGTTTTGATAAGTGACTTTGAATGACACAGAGATTTTATGGAGAGATAAAAGAAGGTAAGAGCCCAGTCTTATTTTCAGGTATCTGGAAAAAGTTCCATCTATGAAATTGTACTGTGTATTGAAGGGGAAATTATTTTTGAAACAAAATGAATAGAATAGCACAAGAAATCACATCTCACCTCAAATATGGAAGTGGTTTCAAGTAAATAGTTCCCAGCCTCAGGTTCTCTCTGTGGAATAAAAAAGTAGTCTGCTTCACAGTGAGACATACTGAAAATGCAATATAAATTATTATAGACTCACAGATGGATTCAGCTTTGCTTCACTAACTTAAAAAGAATGCTGTGTATACCACCTAAATTTTAAGTTAGACCATCTCAAACATACCAGAATTAAGTGAAAAATCTATCAATATGTTTTTAGTTGACATGGAAACAAAGGTATACCTTGGAGTGCCTAAATTACCTCCTGTTTTCCTGCCTTTTCCCTTGTCATAGAAAAGTTAGCAGGAATGCCTCACAGAACCTTATCTTGTTTTCTCAGTTAATTGTACCCAATGCTGTGAACAACCTGAACAGAATTCATGGGATGTTCTATTTTCCACCTGCTGCTTATTTGGTGATTTTGATTTGGTTGGTTCCATCTCATACCAATATTCTCCTTCCTGCTTTCTTCACCTGTCTTTCTGTCCCACATCCTGTGTTTTATGTCAGGCTAACTGCAAAAATTGCAAATCCTCTCAGTTGTTTTCAAGGAAATTAGTGGGGTGCATCACTTTTCTTGTGTGCCACTTAGCCTGTAATGTATGTTAGATCATCCCACAAATAGAGTATTCACATCTGGAATAAATTTGCACAATTGTTTTGGTGGAATTACTGCAGTATACCACCTGAAACTCCATCAAAGTGGTTTTCCCAGATTCTAAATAGCCTGTATTTGAAGTCAGGTCAACACAAACATTTCTTCCAAATTTGGTGACATTCTGTCCAGCCATTTCACAGATTTGAGTTGGGTGCTCATTTTAGTCAAGGAAGCACATCTACAAGATCTGACAAGGGATTTTGATGATTGGAGGACATATACACCAAGCAGTCTTTATATAGAGATTTTTTTTCAAATATCCAAATGTGGTGTAAATCCATCCAACTATTTGGAAGAAATTAGAGGGATGACACATCTGTGACCCCTGAAAACTGGATTTCATAAAAACCACATAGATTAGGCTTTGGAAAAAACATTCCAAACTCACCTTTTCAAACTTGGTAGATATCTGATTAGTCATTTCCACATGATATAATATCCTATTTTCATGGATGGGGTGGTAACCTTCTCCATTGTGATTTTTTGCCTAAGATTGCTGTCCAACACACTGAATTATTATTAATTATTATTATTAAACTTTATTTGTACTCCGCTAGCATCTCCCAAAGTACTCGATGCGACTTACAAAGGCCAAGGCCTCAAAACAACACAACAATACAACACCAAAGCAAATTAAAACAGTTAAAGCAATATTACAATAAACAATACATCAAGACACTATAAAACTGGGCCGGGCCAGAGTAATGGGTACAGGGTTAAAAGTGCTGATATGAAAGATGATATGTACGGATTCTAGGGTAAGTGCAGTGTGCAGTGTGCAGCAATCTCAGTTCTAATAAAGTGCTTCTGGGACTTGTTATTGGAGATTCCTATTCTGGAAAGGCACATCAGAACAGCCAGGTCTTCAAGTTCTTTCTAAAGACTGCCAATGTAGGGGCCTGTCTAAGATCTTTGGGGAGGGTGTTCCAGAGTTGGGGGGCCACCACAGAAAAGGCCCTGTCACGCATCCCCACCAAACGCGCCTGCGACGCAGGTGGAATCACGAGCAGGGCCTCTCTGGATGACCGAAGGGAACATGTGGGTTCATAGAGGGAGATGCGGTCACGCAGGTAGAATGGTCCCAAACCGTTTAGGGCTTTGTAGGTAAGCACCTGCACCTTGAATTGGGCTCGGAAAATAAACGGCAGCCAGTGGAGCTCCTTGAACAGGAGGGTTGACCTCTCTCTGAAAGGGGGGCACCAGTTAACATCCTGGCCGCTGCCTGTTGGACCAGTTGAAATTTCCGAGCCGTTTTCAAGGGCAGCCCCACGTAGAGCGCATTACAATAGTCCAATCTAGAGGTGACCAAGGCATGGACCACCCCGGCCAGATCAGCCTTCGCGAGGTACGGTCGCAGTTGGCGCACGAGTCTCAATTGTGCAAAAGCCCTCCCGGACACCGCCGATGCCTGAGCCTCAAGCGTAAGCGATGAGTCCAAGAGGACTCCCAAACTGTGGACCTGTGGCTTCAGGGGGAGTGTAACCCCGTCCAACACAGGTTGCCACCCTATACCCTGATCCGGTTTGCGATCGACCAGGAGGACCTCTGTCTCGTCTGAATTGATCTTCAGCTTGTTCTTCCTCACCCAGATAGACACAGCAACCAGGCACTCGTCCAGTACCCGAGAGGCCTCCTTGGAATTAGGTGGAAAAGAGTAGTAGAGTTGTGTGTCATCTGCGTAGAGATGGCACCTAACTCCAAAACTCTGGATGATCTCTCCTAGTGGTTTCATGTAGATGTTAAAAAGCATGGGAGAGCCTGAATGCTGAAGTACCCTAAAATGTGGAATGAGTAAAAGTGGAAAAGACAAGAGAGCTTGAGTTGTATATAGCCTGAAAGACAAAGGTATGGCAAGAGTTGGGGACATGTGATTCTTCATATGCTTTTGGATTTCCATTCCCATTATCATTCCTAGCGATTCTGGTCAGTTGAGAGGTAGAGTATGGTAGCTATTGTCTAACAGGGTCTTTAAAAATGGTAATGACTTATATCATGATATATTATTTACCTCATACAGTGCAGTGATTCCCAGTCTTATATTCCTAGAGACTGCTGCACTACAACTCTCAGAATCCAATTGGATATGGTGGCTGGAGCTTCTAGATCTTATGTCTAACAACATCTATAGTCTCAAGGTAACATAGTGCTTTTGTATACTGCTGATTGGTGTGCTATACCTTCCCCCTATCACAGTTTTGGTGGTGTGTAGACTTGAGAACAGATGCTTCTAAACTTGGCATCTTATAGAAGTCACTGGTCAACAGGTATGAACTGACCCTTAAATGCATCATTAAAAAGTTATCATTGAAAGTCTATACTACTCAGCAATGAGGAAATGCTTAGTAGTCAGCATCACTGGGCACTTTAACTTAAGATTCAGGTCATACAAGATTGAGTAACACATTTCTGATTTAACACACTGCTAGAAACAGGAAAAGTCCTTGGCTTACTGCTTGTGATGAAAATTGAAACCAGAAGCAATGATGTCAACTTGCTGTTCTTCTGTAGTCCACACTATGGATACAGAGCAATGATACCATGATTTTGAATGCTACATTAAGATTTTATTTTTACTTTTTTAAGAGGGCAGTTATTAGCATGAGCCCAGAAAAAGAACAAACTTGGGAAAAAGACCAGAAAATATATTCAGAGGTCTCCTGAAGTATCTTTTTCCAGCTGGTCTCCTGCTCATGAAACTCTCGACAGCATACTAGCATTAGGTAATTATATTTTTAGGCTGCCTCCAAAAGATTCCAAAATATTAAAAAATATATATTTTAAAACATTATGAGAGATGTTTCAGCATGAGTTTAACTGACAAAAATTGCAATAAGTGATGGCCTATGAAAAACGAATACTGGCAACAGAAAAATAAAAGATTTGACAGCAATTTTAGAAAGCAATGAAAATGTCTGAGGTTGGCCAGGTGATTGGTCAGGGGTCAGGAAATGTTGAACTGAGGGAGCTTCAAAGAGTAGATACAGTTGGAGCCTCTCTGTTTCTGACTTCTTAAGCCCTTTTGCTGTGCATCTTGTCCCCTTGATAATAATGGGTTGATGATAAAACCAGAAGAGAATCTGAAATCTGTTGTCGAAGGCTTTCATAGATTGCTGTGGGT